ATCTCTTTTGATAAATTTTCTTATATATTAAAGTTAAATTATTGTGCAATTATAAATTAATTAAAAAGCAATTAGTCATAAGTTGTAAACATTTTCGTGTGTGTTTCCTTTACTATACATCTGTACATGTACTTTTGAGCTTTCAATGTCGGGATCGCAAATGAACGAATTGAGTGGCAATTTTTCTGTCTTGTCTGACTGATTGATGTGACGCTTTGTACTTCTTATCTTTCTCATTCTCATTGTCTTTAATTTGTAATGATCATCAATATAACATAACATTTATATTTCAATTAATTTATGACTTTTTCGATTTGTCTGCGTACGGAAAAAATGTGCAAGATGATCATTTCATGACTTGATAATTATAGGTCATAAAATGGACTTTTATTATGCACGTATTCAAGTGCGATTTAATGTTTGACGCACGACATATTTTCTGTAATTTTTACTCTATTTCCTTAATGATTAATATTCCCTCATATAAAGTGGTGCTTAAAAATTCTCAAATATCTTTCGCAGACCACCATCATGACTCATTTCTCCAAATTGTCTTTATGATCCTCTATAATAATCTCAATTATAGCTATTCCATTTAGCAACAGCAAATTGACTATCATCTGTGTTTATGCTGAACAAAAAAAATTTATACATTTTTGGTTTCTGGCTAAAGACATTAAAAATCCTAAGTAGCTTATATTTATAATCATTTACCTAACAATCTTATGAAGTAAATGATCATCTCATTCTATACCAAATGCCTTTCAAATTTCCATCTTTTTCTATCCAGAAAATTGAATTTCTTTTGATTATGTTCAATTTTCTCGTGAAAATCCGGCTTGGAAAATAAAACAGAACGCGCTATATTTTTTTATATACGAAATCACCTTAATTAGACGCTTTCATGATCGACATTGAATTGTAAATGAAGTTTGGAGGAAAATGGCTTGATAAACATCATTTTGGGAATGTTAAATGTTTTTCTGTCAACAATGACTTGTGTTGAATAATCAGATTCTGACAAGTTTATGTCTTAATTAGCTGGATTAGATTGATTTTCAGGATTAGAAATGCGCTACTATTCAGTGATTTTTTTACTTGTGTTTTATTTTTGAATTTAAAGGAAAATTTTTCTACCTCAAAAAAGAAAATGACTATAAAAATATTATCATTAGGCAATGAAAAAAAAAATTAAATTAAATATTAAGAGTGAAATGGAAAGATTTTCATATGTCCATTAAAAGTTTCCTTTCCATTAAATTTTTTTCTCACTGTTTAAAATTAAACAACCGGTATAATTTTTATGATAGAAAATTGCCAAAGCCAGAATTCTATTTTTTAAAGCGTCATAGAAATGATGATGATCTGGTGGACCAAATTTTTTTGTGTGAGAATTAAAAATCGTGAGGGAAATTGAATGAATAAACAATACGAATTTTTTTTGAAGATCAAATAAAAAATTAAAAAGATAATTTTTAATGATTCTTTTTAATTCTTCTCTCTCGAGATTCTCTTTATAAACAACCGCAATATGTAGCATGAGTGAATGTAGCGAGAAAATTGAGGGAAATGAAAATGAAAATGAAGAAAAAAATTGACCATTTATTAACAGCATTAAATTATTATTATGAATATTACAACTGTTTTCTCACATTTTTAATTGCCTTACACGCATCGTGCTGTTTTCATCTTCATGTGTGTTCTTAAATAGCTTTTTTTTTGGGTCATGAACGATGAATCTAGTTGGTAACAGGGCATAATATGCATTTGCTACTGTAAGTTATAATTGCAGGGCGTCAGGTGAGATTCTTAGATCTTCTTAACCATTCAAGTCATTATCATCCACACCTCAAATGTTAGTAAATACGGAAATTACACCTCAATCTAAACTAATTGCTTTTCTGTTCACCGCAAAAATTAATTTTTCCACAGAAACTGAATGTTCTCATGCATGGAAAAAAATACTCGTAAATTTATAACTGTCACCTTTTGTCACTAGCTTATCTTGTCATGTAGATTCTCTAGCCTCATTACAGTTGTTTGCTCTCTTGACATTTAACTCTTATATTATCATTAACATGAGCATTATGATTTATCATTAGCATGTTCAGTATGAAGCAACATCAAGTTGATGTCATTTAAGATAATGGAACTAAGATGAGGCAGAGGATCTTGACCTCTTTGAGTATTAAAAACTTGCTATATTGATGGCAGCCTTAATTGTTTACATTATAAAACCTCACATAACGAATCATCAGCATTAGAGACAGAAGTGCAATGGTTTACCATTAAGCATGACCATAATAATTATCTAAAAAGCTAATCAAAATAAAACGAAGTAAAAAAATGAAATCTTTTTTGATGTTGGAGGAAGGAGATGATTTTGTTCATTTAATTTACAAAAAAAAAAGAAGCAAACTGGCACTGGAAATGGGTTTATATTACTTTTTTTTTGATGGAAGAAATTTTTTTCTGTTTATGATCGTTTAATTTTATTTATAATTTAGAGCTGTTCTCGCCCTCTTTTGTGGCATTTTCTTTTCTCAAATCTCTTTTTTTTTCTTTAATTCGCTAAAAGCATTCGAAAGAAAAACATCGCATTTTTCCTTCTTTTTCACTTGATTTTCCTGTGATCTGTGATGGAAAATTAAACATGAAATTCATCGTTTATACGAAAAAAATCGCTACAACTTTTTGTATGTATATACACGATTTAGATGATGATGATGAAAATAAGACGAGAATCCGGGATACATACGTATTTATGCATATATATTGCGGATGGAAAAAAAAAGTTTTAAGTACACACATTACAGATTGAAATATTTGCCTTGATCAATACGAGTATCAATGTTTTTAGCTTGATTTTTTTGTGTGCTGGCTTGATGGTTTGTCTTAGATGTAGGAATATTACTAGGTTGAGGGGCGTAGCCAGGAATTTGAAAAAGTTGGGACAAAAAAAAAATTTATGGAAAATTCAGAAGGAGGGGGGAGGGGGGGTTATGATTTTTTCAAAAACTCTTAGCAAAATGAAGAAATTTCTATTAACGTCGGATGATCCCCCAAATCCGACCACCCCTGGTTACGCACTTTACTAGCTTTGAGGTTTATTTGGTATTCTTTACAATATCCTTCAACAATACCATAACTTAAAACATATTTATTAAGTTTTAAATCAGTTTAAGTCAAAATTGATAGTTCCTCCCTCAAAATGCGCTTTAATCTTCCATCATACCAGCGTTCCTTACTTCTGAACAAATTTCTCATCACACGTATCACTATTTCATCTTAATTTTCCGTTACACATTTGTATATACACATGTACAAACCATATACCGTGGAAAAATCAAAGACTTATTTTTTTTGTGTTTCTTCAAACTCTTTGAAACAGTCAGAGATAGTTTACATGTTTGTTAACATCAAATGAGAAAAAAAAATAAGAATAATAAAAAAAAGATTATTTTTCTTTTATTTTATCGTGCATGAAGAAAGTGAGTCACAAAGTTGTGGCATGACATTCAATTAAAAGAAGTGAGTTGAACATATGCGAAAATAAAAGATGTAAAAGAGTGAAAAGATCAAAGGAGCTAGTCGCTCTGTCATGTTTTCTTTTGAGTGCGTTTATCTCAAAGGCGACTACATGATGTCTATAGCTGTTTGTTCTTTTATATAGATGACAAAACTGTTAAACTGTATCAAAGTCTGTTCAGTGACATTCACACCTCAAAAATCATCAAATTTCGTAACTTTTCCCTACTGCTTAAATATCACTTTACATCCACAACTTAAGTGTCAGGCGTCAATTTTTCTATTTTCGTCATACTTAATTTTTTCTCATTAATAAATCTTCACGCATCGAATCAATTTTCATATTCATGAGGAGCGACAATTAACTTGATGATGATGATCATCGGATATGATCAAAAAGAGAGATGCGTTGGCGACAACGACTACGAAAAGATTTCCATAATAAATTAATTAATCAATTTGTTACGATGGCTAATTTCTTAATTTTTTATTCACTTGCTTTTGTAGAATGTGACAGATGCGATAATTAATTGACATTCGCTGCTTTTAGTAAGACATTATTTATTCCAAGACATACCGTGGTGTATAGACTTGAAAATACCCGTCAATTTCCTCGCGTGATCTTTCAACTTGTGTGCAGATGTCAGTGAGCCTAAAGGCAAATTAATCCGCACACATAAAGAAGAGAACGACGAAGTAGTGAAGACCTTCAGAAGTCAGCGGTGAGGAAAAGACATTGACGATTAATCGATTGATTGCATTGAATATTCTTTTTTTTTTGTGTCTGTAATTCGATAGTTTTTCATTTCGTGTATGCGAATTATAATTAAATTACGTAAGTGCATAGATGCCTTTATCGCTTTAGTTCCACATCGATAATTAAATTAAGCATTATATTAAAAAAATATTATTTCTCTTTTCATCCATTCCTTTTACTTCGCCTGTCATTAATGAACGTTCTTTGTGTTGTTATTATTATTCATAACTTCTTTCTTATTCTCTCTTCTCGTTCGTTTGTTGCCTTTTTGTAATTTTTTTTTTATTCTTTTTCTTGATTGAACTTTTGCCGCACCGCCCGTTAGACTTAACAGGTAAATTGAGATAGGTTGTGAGTATGAGCGCGCGAGCTCAAGGAATAGAATAAGATAAGGCATATTAATGCCTTTTCAAATGAGCAACAGCGAGATGAGATTTAATGAAAAGAAATAAAAATTAAAGGAAGTAAGGAAATCAATTTGGTGATTATGACGCATTTCATGTAAGGGGAGTCATTAATGATTTTTGAATCCTTATAATTAAAAAAAAAATTGAAGCTTACTGGACAAACCGATCGATAGTCCCAGTAAATCATAGAAATAGAGAAGTGCCGCAGACAGTAATCCCAAATGAACGTGTAGGAAGATAATAATTTAATGACATTATATTGTCCTCATTAGATCATTCATTCAAGTATGATTTTAATCAAAACTCACCATTTCATTAGCATCATTGATATCCATTCGATTATGCCCGATAGCATCGACTGATGTGCTCATGGTGTGATTATATTTCAATTCCGGACAATTTTTGATCGTTATCTCCTCACATTTATTATTCTTGTTGTTATTGCTATTTAATTCATTGAGTGTCGATGATGACAATGGCAATAATGGCAATGTTGATGCATTAATTGTTTTTATCACGAGCAATAGTATCAGTAACATTAGAAAATCAATTGATAACATTTTATTTCCACTTAATGTGTACATTTTTATTATTATTTATATTATTATTCTCCTGTTATCTATTGTGTCACACTAGAAAAACCTCTCTATACACCCCGCTTTGCGCCTTTACTTTTATAAAATACCGAACAGACTTTTTTTTTTGGCCGCACAGAAAAAATTGATTAGTTCAGATAATATTCCTTTTATCTCCCGAAAAACACTTTATTTACACCTGATATGACCGTTGTGACAGGTAATGCTTGTGTATCGTAGTATTTATATCGTTCTATTCACTTCCATCTAGTTACTTTCAATGAGTAAATTCATGAAAATTTTCATCGTCTTGCTCGGTACGATCTCAATCAATTTATGTCTGCTGCTAACCCTGCTCAACGTCTGATTAGGTTCGGCATTGATTATGAGAGTAATAACAATCAATTTTTTTCACAATTCTACCCAAAATTTTTGTTGTTTTTATTTTCCGCAAAGAAATTAGTAAAAAAAAAATTCACACACGTTTATGTAAACACGTTGTAAAATTTAATTGTTTGCACAATTTTCTTCAATTAATTGGCGTTTCTTTTCTGCTTTTTCCTTATATTTTTTTTCACGTTCACAACACAACGCACAGAATTTTTTTTTGTTTTACTTCGAATTGAAAAAAAGATTTCAATTTTATTCGAATTATTGAAAAAATTATTAATTTTTCTTTTTTCTTTCTCTTATTTCGTGCCTCAAAAATACTTTTTATTAATAAAAAAAAAAATCAAAATAAGATCTAGCGAGAATGGAGGTGAACGAATGTCTACCTTGTTGGATGGTTTCTGGCGAACTAAATGAAAACTAAAAATGTCTTTTGTATTTTAAAATAAAACAAGTAAGAGAAAATTTTTGTAAGAGAATAAATGAGAGCCAAATTGGAAGTTGAGAGAATTGCGATGCACTTATACTAATGTAGTGGATTATGTGTTATTAGGCGATCAATGTGGTGACTAGCTTTAGGGAATTCGTTTCAATCTGACAGTCAGAAAATCTTATGAACATTTGGAAATTAAAATTAATAGATTCGAATCCGAACAGCGTTTCAGAAAATTTAATATCTAAATTCTAATTTATTTATTAGTTCAATTATGACGTCCGAAATTAACGATCATTTTTCAAAAACAATTAATGGATTTACAGAAATTTCTATTGTTCTTAACTGTCTGACCCCCCCCCCCCCCCCCCCTACGACCCTTTATCTATATTTTTTTGTGGATATTTAAGGAGCCGTTCACCTATGACATCCGGGGGGGGGTCAGCAAGAAATTAGATAGAAATTCTTGGAACTGCAATCATGGACGTCATAAATGAAGTAATTTATGCAAAAGTTTACGCACCTGAAAATGTCTCAAAATTCAATAAAAACATTTTCTTGTGAAGTATATAAATTTAAAACAAAGTTCTTAAATTCTGCAAAACAGTCAATGTTTAAGTCTCAATAATCCTTAACGAAATTTCCTTTTTTTTCATTGTCACCCATTTGATCTGTTCTTCTTCTTCTCTCAACTTCCAACTAACACACCCTCAATTCTTATTCAAAACAAAGCAACGAAAACACTTAAAAATGAGCGAGAGAGACATGAAAAGCAAAAGAGAGAAATAATCTCAAAATTTTGCACAATAGCAGATGATGATGATCAAGAAATGATCACAAAACGTTCATAATACGAGAGGAATAAAAGATATAAACTCGAGAAGTGAGAATAAGAAGAGGACGAGGCAATATTTGAGAAAATTCATCATATATACGGATGGAAAAAAAAGGCAAGAAGAGAAACCGGTAAAAATCAAATGGTTTAATAGCTTTAAAGTAGAAACAACAACAACAACAGCACTCATCATCTCTTGAGGTAGAACAATATTATGGCGAAAAAGGAGCATGGATAATACAGTATAAATTTCGGACAACGGACAGAATGTTTCATCGATGAATTTCATTGGAAACAATTTTTTTTTTTGGTAATTCCTCTTTGGTTGCCGCTTCTTTTTTTTTGGTGTACGGAATATTATGGAAGTAAAGGAAAAGGGAATTGACGGAAAAAAATCGCATGCATGTACGAAGAAAAAAAATATTAGGAATTATGAAATACTGCAAGAGCTAATGGGCTGGATGTAATGAACGCATTTTTATTGATTATTTTTTTTGCAAGAAATAGAAGCTTGTGTTATGGTTTTCATAATTTTAGGACCAAGAATCAAGAGCTGTGGTGAAATATGTATTGACAGTGAAGACTTTGATCCTGTAGATCTTCCTATAACTGTCGTATGTGTATACAAATGTAAAACAAGTCGAGTTTGATGGAAATCGAACTAGCAACCTCAAAAGAGGCGATCTCTGACCTTTCGATCAGAGATCCTTGCCAGTCGGCTACCGAGGTACTTATCTTACTTCGGATATCCGTTATACACATACAACCAGTTTCACTGCGAGCTCTATGCTCAGTCCTATCTACTACAGATATGCTATTCGAGCCATATCTATAGATCCTTGTTGAATGGTATTGATTTTTAATTGCAATTGTAACGTTGCACGAATCAGTCAGTAAATGCAGTACATTCATTTGTAGGAACTTTGAGCAACATCTCAAACTAGAGAACAACCATTTTTGTATCATTCTGTCGAAGATAGAAAAAATAAGGAGTCTTAGTTGATCAACGGATAAACTGCTTAGTTGACTTCATCTTAGAGATCCAACAGCAACAACAATTAAGGTATATTCTATCCACCAATAAGACAAAATAAATTCATTTCCTCGTTTATAACAGCAAACTGCATCCCAAAAATGAATTATGAATCCCTAAAAAAATATTTTTATTTTATACGTAATATTGTTCTGTATATTATTCTTTCTTCTTATTTCCTTTTATGCTGCTTGCAATTATGAGGAAGAGGTACAATTTGCATGTGTATGTGAAACTCTGAAAAATCTCTTAATGGATGTTTATTGCATTAGCCATATCACTTCATCTCCGATCGTCTTCTTTTTGCTCCGCTCAAAATTCATTGTTTTTTTTTGGCTGTTTTGGAAATGAATTTTTATAGGGATTGCTTCCTTTGGATTGATTTCATGAAGATTTAAAGCTTGCACCTTGAGTTTTGTGGTTTATCAATATTCGGACATTTGTTCTTTTGATGTAGATTGGTTGTGGTTTTATTGATTGCAAATAAATCTGCAGATGTCTTGTCAAAAAAAATCTTCCAGATTTTCAGCAAGGACAGCATGTTGTAATATATATTTTTTTCGGCATTAATAGCTATAAGAACAACATAAATAAAGAAAAATAAACAAAAAGAAGATCGTTCAATTGCATAAAACTGCAGAAGCACAAACACAAAAAGCCGACTGTCAGTTACGTTCATTTAATAAAGCATTAATTACACACGAAAAGCACTGAAATATATGCAAGGAGGAAGGGGAGAAAAATGAAAGAAAAATAAAGTAAATAAACTAATTAGCTTTGTGCGCATTTTTCATTTAATTTCTTTCTTTTTTTGCGATGTGTCGTTGTCGTTCTGCCTCCTTTTTATACGTTTCGTCTTTGTAGATAGAAAAAAATATAAGTTCCTGTTTTGCTGTGAGTTTTAAAGCGCATTTCACAATAAACATATAAAAAAAATTTATGAATTGAAAAACGATATACAAATTGGAGCTGAAACTTGAATTCAATTTATAGGATTTGAACCTTTGCAATCTTTGCTAGCACAATCAATTTAAATTTTGACTGTTTTTACAACTTAGCACATCTTTTGCGTAGTTCTATAAATATTAAACATTAAACAATTTTTGAAAAAAAAACTTCAGGCAAAGAAAGAGACAGTCATGCCTTAATTTAATTTCATTAGTGCCAAAACATTTGCTAAAAAGATGAAAAATAAGAAATAAAAATAAATTTACAATTTGCACACATTGCATCAAGATAACTATAGCCGTATGGCAATAATGGTAAGAAGAAAGCAACAGCGACTCTTATACATATTTTTTTTAAGAACCCAAGCATTTGTAGATGAAAGGAGAACATGATCGAGAAGAAGAAGAATAAAGGGAGAGTGAGAGAGACGTTCACATTACACATCAATTTGTTGCTGCCGCACGATCACTGTGTAGTCGCTCTTTGAAGTCGCTTTCATTTCTTTTGATTTCTTCTTCTTGTTCTCTTTGATTCTTTTCTGTACTTTTTGTTCATCACACAGATGAGCATTTGAAAATTTAATTTTTTTTCCTCACTCTCCTTATTGCCCTTTACTTGTCTTTTATGTGCGGTTGTGTATCTATTATGTTACAAATTGTACAATATTATTGCTCTTATGTGTTGATAGTGAGGAGCTATATGGGTATGATTTTATGATTTTGATGCTTTGGAATAGAAAAGTCGTTCTGATTAGAGTCATTGATTTTTGATGTTTTCATGAAGAGGGTTAGTAAATGATCGGTCCCCAAACTAGAATTTGCCCTTAAATGCTGCTTCTCGATCACCAAACAATCAATAATTACAGAACAAACGAACCTTAAATCTCATAAAATTTCCCATCGAGGCCATTGAGGTCACAATACAATTATTGGCATTCTGGACGAAATAACAATAGAATATTTGAATTGAAATGGTCTTCAAAAGCTATAAGAATCAACAGAAATGTAAATTCTTAATCGACACATCTCAAATGTGAAACAATTTGAAAATTTTCATTGTTATTCATGCAAAGTAAGAGAAAAAAACTGCGCGAGTGAGATGGAGAGTAAATCCATTGAGGAATGTCTCTAAGTCTCTAAGCTCTTTCATTAATTATCTGTAAGATCTTCAACAGCAGCATCAGAAGCAAAAGTGACGACAAATGAAATACAAAAAAAAGTAGAAAGAAGAACAAGGCAGAAGAAAAGTCGACGACAAAATGGAATGTATATGGTTTGGTATAAATTAAATTGTGAACATATGCCATTGGTATGAACATCGGTTCATTGTGTTCACTTCATGCAATTTACAATTTAGCAAATTCACAAGAATTGTCTTCTTCTTTCTCAAAAGGCAGAAATTGCTCGACTGGACCGTTGATAATTTTCACATTTCACATCATTAACTGTGTCTAATCACACTTTCTAGTTAAGGCATTCAAGAAATTTTTGCTGCTTTCGAAAGCGAAAGAATGAAAATAAGTTTATGGATAATACAGTTCTTCGTTCTCTTCGTAGATGTGAAGTAATGTCGATACCATGACATTAAGATGAACACCAAAAAAAATCATCATCATCATCATCATCTTCGACATCACTTGCCCTCCTGGAAGTATGGATGAAAAAGGTTTGTTAGCTTGTTTTGTGGATATGCTGCTTGGATAGCTTAAGTTGTCTATGAATGTAGATTTGTGTATAGACGGCACTCGATTTGTATAGCAAGGGTATTCCATAGGATACCACCGCCTTTTATGACCAACTTGAACTTTTTATTAAGCAGTAATCAAATGTGAGAATATGATCAGTCTCCACAAGCGCCTTACTACCTCAATCATCCTGATCATTCATCTCTTACTTCTATTTCTCACTTCTCATTCTTTTCATAAAACCACAGCAAATTTGTTCCTTCTTCTTCGTCTATTCTATTTGGCTGTATTCTTAG